AGCAGGATGCAAGCTGCCAGACTCATCTCTGTTGGTAAAATTGATACAATCTCTTCAGTCTGGGTAGAATTACTTTTTCTTTCCAAAACCAACTTCACTAGGAATCATTCATAGTCTAAGATGTGTACCGAGACCTTTAATTATCCTTTTGTTTCCCCCCAGGCAATTTATGTCTCAGTGCTTCCCCCCCACCCACACGCTACACCATCTCTCCCATCAGCAAATATTCAAAGCACCACAAGAAAAACCAAATGCATTTACACTGAAAGTCAGTAAATAAATATGGAAGAAATAACTTACAATATGGAGAGAAACACACAGGTGACAGCATCACACAGGACCATATGTCTGCTCCCTGATATGCTTAACAACGCTATAATTCTCTGTAAATCTTGGTCAACAGGAGATTGAATACACAAAATGGAATAATTTAAAATTTCTACTCTTTTGCTGCCTTCTCTGAAAGTTAGTAGTGCTGATGCAAAAAGCAGTGGAGTACAGCAGGCAATAACAAGTACCCATTTTCTATCGTAACATTTTTTTCAACCTTAATCTACCCCTGTATTCGATGAAAATAACAGGCTGATAATCAGCCTTACTTCCGGGAAGGTCTGATCTTTTACATGTATTTCCCTCCATTCACAAATACAGGTGTGGATTTTTTTCCTTTGATCTTTAAATTAGAATATTTGGTCTGTGTACCAGGCAGATGGTGCAATTACAACATCTTTGTTAACAGACAAAATTTAATGTTAAGTGGTTGAAAGTCATCATAGCCTGATTGTTAAAACTTCTGTATTTCCCACTTTTTTAAACAATGACAATAAATCAATGTTTTGATGTTAACATTGTTACAGTCAGCCCTCTTTTTCACTCTTTCTTTCTTGAGGATGTAGAACTTGCATTTAGTCATACAGAAGACTTGCAAAAGATAAAACTTGGTATTCCTGACATTTCTTTCATGAAGGAATACAGAAGAAAAAAATTAAACGGAAGAAAATTCCATCACCAACAAAACGTGCTTTCATGTTAAACTGAAACTATAGACAAGGTCAAGCTGCTAAGCACCATTTCAAAAATGACTGCAAAAAACCTGTAGGTGTAGATATTTGCATAATCTGTAGAACTATAGAACTATATTTTAACTTATTGGTAGTTCCAAAAAAGAAAAAATATTATTTCATTTTAAGCAAGAAATTTTATTCAATTAGCAAATTAATTTAAGTGTTGTGTTTAGTTACTTATTATGGTAAGTAATGAAATTGTAAAACCATTTAATAAATGTAAAACAAGGATTTTTTTCCTTTGCTGTACTGCTTACAATTTAGTGAAGCTAACTTTAATTGTTAAATTTCAGAGGTTTAAATCCACCCTTTTCATTGAAAAACAAACAAAAATTACTCAACTCCATGGACTACATGTATCGTGCAGACAAGATACACTTACACAAAAGTGTATCTTGTCTGCACATGAACCTCAGCTCTGCAGATGTGGGCTATCTGAACAGAACTGGAACACTGCTGCATGACTGCAAAGCATTCAGATCAAGAACATGTACCAACAAGTTACTGGAAAATAAAAAATTTGAAGAAAACTGGAACCTTGTCCAGGTGACAACTGCTATTGTGTGGCTTTTGGGGATTACAAAAACTAGCCTGAGGCTGTATTTGTTAGGTCTTCAAG